AGGCGGGGCCCGGAGCCAGGAGCGCCCGGACGACAATCCTTCGTAAATAAAGCCCAGTTTCTTTTTGAGGTTGGCAAGTCCCAGCCCCATGATTGCAGGTTTGTCTCCGGATTGACGGATTGGATGATGGATGGGTTGATCTGGGGGGACATACACCCATTTTCTTCCTCCCCTCCCCGCATATGTCTCTGAGCCCTTCCTCATCCTTTGCATCTCTAGGGCCGAGGCCTTGGGACCCTGGGGGCCTGCAGCTCCGAGAAGGGAAAGAGCAAAGGGCCCCACGCGGGGGTGGGGGTGGACCGTTCTTCAGCCCCTCAACCCTCCAAAGCTCTGCGCTCTGCCGAGGACTCTCAGCCCAAAGCAAAGCTTGTGGGCTCCCCACTTAGCAAATGGTAAGATGGGAACAAAAGCTGTTTGCCCGCGTGGGGCTGCAACCAAACCCGCCTGGCCTCCTTCCTCCGCCTGAGTGAGGGGAGAGGGGCCTTGGCCTCCAGGACCCTGGACCCTGCCCCTGCCCCTGCCCCACCCGCTGCTAGCAGGAGGGCAGCTGTGCCAGGGGCAAATGGGGAAATACAGCTGGGCAAGGTGGGGCTCCCTGCAGGTGGCTGAGACGGGGGCTCGCAGGGGAAGGGCAGCGAGGGCGCAGGAACCGCGGGAGGAAGGCTGAGCAGGGCTGTGGCCTCAGGGGGTCCAGGGAGCTCTGTAGCAAGAGCAGCCCCACAAATCCAGTGGCGCTTTTGAGGCCTATTAATCACTGCGAGCTGCCCAGGGTTGGGGGGTGGGTGCCTTCCCCAGCAGGGCAGCCCCCTGTTGATGGAGGGTCCCTGCTGTGAGCTGTTAGCAAGCCCCCCGGAAGGAGCTGGGGGTCGGTGTGCGTTGGGAACAGGGCCCGCCCAGGTGCCATCCCAGCAGCTCTGATAATTCACTGAGATTTGTTGTTTCCCAGGGCATACTTAATTTTGTAAATGCCCCGTGCGTGCTTGAAAAGTGTATTACAGCAATGTGCCTAAAAATAAAAACACAAATAAGGGAGAAAGGACAGCTCTTCCTCCAGAAGGATGGCCGCTGACAACACAGGAGGAGTGGGGGGTGTGGGAAACCCCAGCGCAAGCCGGTGGTGAGTGCTGCAGCCGGACCTGCGATCGGGAGCGGAATTATGGATGGATATTTGAGAAACAGGATATCTGCATAGTCTCAAAGCCTCTCCCTCAAGATATTTATTAATTGCAGAGGTAAAATGATACCTTTACAGCGGGATACCCAGCAGGCACCACACCCTTTTCACCAAGTTGTCAAGGCCACAGGAACTCATCGTGAGACACTCGGACGTCGCATCCCCTGCCACGATGTGCTGGAAAGACCCACTGCTTCTGGGGCGTGCTCGTTACAATGCATGACCATCTACCCATGAGAGGACTTCAGACAAACCCGGACTGAGGGACATCATCTAAAGTAATTGAGCGGTACTCTTCAGAATGCCGAGGCTCTGCGAGCCTCAGAAGGACCGAGGACTGTCACACGCTATCACACGACAGCCCAGTATTCCGGACTGGATCCTCCAACAGGAAAAGGCCGTCAGTGGACAAAGTGGCAACATTCAAATAACGTGTCTGTAGTTGAGCTAACGTGATCACACCCATGTTAATCAGTTTGTTAATGGTACTCGTGGTTACGCAAAATACTGACAGTGGACGAAGCTGGGTGAAGAATGTATGGAGACTGCACTACTTTTGCCAATCCCCTGTAAGCCCCAGCTCCTTCAAAATAACACTTTGAATAAATGCTCAGTTTAAGAACTTACAGTAACCACTGCTCAGGTTGAGAAATGGGACATTATTATCACTCGTGTGTCTTCCTTCCGAATCACAACTTCTGACTTCTCATACAGGTAACTACTGTGATGACCTTGGTGATAATTACTTCCTTGCTTTGCATAATGGATTTCCCTTCTAGACAGCCGTCCTTAAAAAGTAAAGTTTAATTTTGGGGCCCCTGGGTGGCTCTGTGAATTAAGCGACAGACTCTTGATTTCGGCTCAGGTCATGACCTCAGGGTCCTGAGATGGAGCCCTGTGCTCAGCAGGGAGTTGGCTTGGGATTCTCTCTCCCTCTCCCACTGCCCCTCTCCCTGCTCGAACTCTCTTTCTCAATCAATCAAATCTTTAAAAAAAGTAAAGTTTAATTTTGCCTGTTTTAGAATTTTATATATGTGAAATCATACAGCATATTCTTTTTTACCCCCCCACCCTGTTTGCTTTGTTGTGTTTTTTATTTCATTAATTAAAAACTTTTTTATTGTGGTAAAATACACAACTTAACATTTACCATCTTACCCATTTTAAGGGCTCACTTCAGGGGTACTAAACATTCACACTGTTGAACGACGACCGTCCCCGTCCGCCTCCCGAACGCTTCATCCTGCAAAACCGAAACTCCGTCCCCATCGAACACGAACTCCCCGTTCCTCCTGCCCCAGCCCTGGCGGCCACCACCTGCTTTCTGTCTCTGCGGGTCTGACGATTCTGAGTGCCTCATAGCATCATATAGTGTTTGTCTTTATTGTGACTGGTTATTTCACTCAGTGTAATGTCCTC